AGAAAGAAAGAGAGAGAGAGAGGGAGGGAGGGAGGGAGGGAGGGAGAGAGAGAAGAAAGGAGGGAGGGAGGGAGAGGTAGGCAGGAAGGGAGGGATATGAAGAAGGAAGGAAGGGATGAGAGAAAGAAAGGATGGCTAGTTTGACGAAGAGAAGGACGAGGGGGGACAGGATAGCAGTCTTCCAGTATCTCAGGGGCTGTCCCAAAGAAGAGGGAGTCAAGCTATTCTCCAAAGCGCCTGAAGGCTGGACAAGAAGCAACGGATGGAAACTAATCAAGGAGAGAATCAACCTTGAACTAAGGAGAAACTTCCTGACAGTTAGAACAATTAACCAGTGGAACAACCTGCCTCCAGAAGTGGTGAATGCTCCAACACTGGAAGTTTTTAAGAAGAGACTGGACAGCCATTTGTCCGAAATGGTGTAGGGTCTCCTGCCTGAGCAGGGGGTTGGACTCGATGACCTTCAAGGTCCCTTCCAACTTTATTATTATTATTATTATTATTATTATTATTATTATTATTATCATCATCATCATCATCATCATCATCAGAAGGGAGGAAAGGAGGGAGGGAGGGATAGGGTAAGGTAAGGTGAGGTAAGGTAAGGTAAGGTAGGAAGGAAGGAAGGAAGGAAGGAAGGAAGGAAGGAAGGAAGGAAGGAAGGAAGGAAGGAAGGAAGGGGAAACTGAGTGTGGAGGGCTTGCTGTGCAGAATTAATCAAAGTGAGTCCCCAGGAGGAGAAATGGGGAGGAGGCGAACAGGGACCTCCAATTACAGCCAGGCGGAGGGTCATCTCGTTCCCCAAAATGATGAAACTGGCTGATTTTTCTTGGGGGGTGGTGGCGGGAGAAACCTAAGCAGGATGGAGAAAAATCAGCATGAAGAAACGAGAGAGAAAAAAATGAACGAGAAGAAAGAAGCAAAAAGGAGGAATGTTTGGGGAGAAAAAACAGGGACTAGAAACTTGAGATCCAAATAAGTGAGAACCCCCCCCCCGGGTCTAAAACACGTTGTGCTTTCCTGCCTTGGGCGACCGGCCCACGTAGAGCCTCCATGCTCAGGCACAGCTTTGGGCCACAAGCTGAGAAAGCGCCAGAGGAGGGCAGCCGACAGGTAAATTAAATTCGTGCGGGACAGAGAGAATAAATTCCCTCAATCTGCTTAATCTCCATTTAATTGATCCGACGGCTGATGAAGCAGAAAGAAGGGGCAGGAAAGCGGCCCTCGGAAATTAACTCTCACGAGGCTAATCTTTTTAAAACGGACAAGCTCAGGAGCTAAGTCTTGCTGGGGGGGGGGTGAGAGAGATTTAGTTGCCCCCGCCAAGCATCCAGGTAATAAAAGTTAAGCAGACAGGTATATGGGATAGACCTGGAAGACCTACCTGTCTGCCTTCGCTGACAATCAGGGAAAAAAAACAGGAGAAGGAAGGTAAGAATCAAACATACGAAGAACGGCTGCAGGACTTGGGTCTAGCTAGTCTAAAGAAAAGAAGAAATAGGGGGGACAGGATAGCATTCTTCCAGTATCTCAGGGGCTGCCCCAAAGAAGAGGGAGTCAAGCTATTCTCCAAAGCCCCTGAAGGCCGGACAAGAAGCAACGGATGGAAACTAATCAAGGAGAGAAGCAACCTGGAACTAAGGAGAAACTTCCTGACAGTGACAACAATTAACCTGTGGAACAGCTTCCCTCCAGAAGTTGTGGGCGCTCCATCAATGGAGATTTTTAAGAAGAGACTGGACATTCACCTGTCTGAGACAGTATAGGTTCTCCTGCTTGAGCAGGGGGCTGGACTAGAAGACCTCCAAGGTCCCTTCCAGCTCTATTCTATTCTTGTTAGGGCCACAGAGAGCCAGGAATGGTTGATTGTCCACTTAAATAAGGAGGACGACCTTGGTCAGAACCTGGCACAGAAGTAAGTGGAGTCCTTGATGGGAAATGGGGTCCTTGATGAACAACCAAGCTCGGAGAGCACCAAGGACCCCAAAAGTTCAACCCTGAGCTACCACGATTCTCTTTGAAAGAAGGAAGTCATTGAATCAGAAGCTTCTTAGAAGGCCAAACGAGGCCACCAAGAAGCCCAAAACCCAAGAAAAGGTGTCTTGAAGTTTTGGGGAGGGAGGTGGCACCAGGCCTGAAGACCTAACCCCAAGAAGCCCTCAGACCTTCATTTGACATTATCCCTCGAGCAGCCTCTCTTCCTTAAACTGGATTAAAGAGGGAGGGGAGGCCCCTCTCTCCCCCCCTTCCTGAGAATTGACCGCCATCGATCTGCTGCCTGGTTAGTCCGTATTCAGATAACGGCGAGGGAGGAGGGAAGATCAGACCGGAGCTTCTTTCTCACCAGCGACGGGACTTAGGGATCAATAAACTATTAATAAACTGCAGAAGGTTTTAAGGAGAGATCTGTGTGTAATGCTATT